TAACTAAGTCACATATAAATGTTTGTGTATATAATCACATTAAATGCATTATTTTATGTCAAAAATTATATAAAATTTTTATGCCAAAATAACTTCTTTTTTTTCAATTTATACAACCGCTTATCCCAGAAGTTGACTGGTCTTATACTGATGATCAAACACAACTACTACACTCACCTAACCAGTAAGAAAGTTGCACTAATACCAAATGGAATCATGCTAAGAACCTGATGAAAGACAGTATTAAGCAGCAGAAGTATGAAGAATGTATATGATTTGAAGGCCAATAATATTGGACCTGGCGAGCATGCTCAGAGACCCACTCCTGATCAATCCACAGCGCAGAAGACTCCAACTGAGATTTCGATTTGGAAGTATTCTTCTTCTTGATATTGCTACTTTCTCCAGGGCCGTCGATTACTGAACACGGCGGTTCGCCACCGTCATTAGGCGGTGTGGGCACCAGATCATACACGAATCCTCTATCTAATTTCGGATTCAGTTTCCCGAGCACAAGCCCTACCTAACTCGGTTACATGGAGACACAAAACTTTGAATAAGAACGAATTGTAAACGGAAATTAGTTGATAAGGTAAGAAGGGAGGGGGATTTGAAACTCTGAAGTATTAGATCGTAATGTCACGCACCTGAGAATGAAGGACAGAGGAAGCTAAGCGATTTTCGGCGAATTTGAGCCGAGTTTCGTCTCCAATTACGGCCTTCACCATGATTTCTCAGCCGGGAAACACAGCCCGATCTTGAGGGGACGTGTGTGCTCCAGTCCACTGCGACTGCAAATTGAAATGTTTGGGAAATAAACCAATAGATGAGCTATATATTTTTGCCGTTTGATTTCTAAATATTTTGTAAAACTTAAAAAATCCTATTATATTTAACTAGTACAACGTTCTTGTACACGGGTGTTTCGTGAAAAAATAATTATACAACAAAAAGTGAAAAAAATAAAATTATAATTGTGAATTAAAAAGCTCTAAATAATTAATAAGAAAATATTTTTTAATATTATTTTGAATTCTACAAAATATTTTTATGTAGTATTATTTATTTTATTTAATATATATTTTTTTGTCAAAATTAAATAGATTAATTTGTTTATTCGACAGTTAATAACTCCTGTGAATATTATGGGCGCTTGAAGGTTAAATATTTGCATCAAAATAAAGAAGTAAAGAAATATATATTCTTATAATATAATGATAAAAAAATAAATGTACAACTAATAACTAAAAAAGCAAAATAATTATTTAAAATAATATGCTTATTTTATACTCAAATTGTTAAAAAGACAATTTTCTTAACCACAAACATACACACACACATATATATACAACTCTAATTTAATTTTGATTTTTTTTCAAGTTTGATTATATTGTAATTATTCTTTATATTTATACAATTTTTCTCCCTGATTAATATTTTAAAAATATATTCAACTTTATAATGTTCAACAATTTAAAATATAATTTGTATGAGGGTACTATTTTAAACTTTATGAAATAAAATAATTATTTTTATGATTTTAATTATAATATTAATTACTTTTTTTTCATGATCATAATGTTTCTGTGTAGTCTTTATTTAAGTCGACACATAAACTTTTCGAATAATTTTTTATACTAATTTGATGTTCATACTTAAGTTATTTATTTTTTTCTAATTAAAATAGCTATATTATAATTTGTTAATACACATAAATTTTATTGCTTTATAAAATGTTTCATAAATAAAATCATTCAAAATTATAAAAAAATAAATCCTAATAATAAAAAATAAAAAATGTTTACATGAGTAATGGAATAGTGAATCGAATATTGTGGCAATTTTAAAAAACAATGTTACCATGATCTATATATATATATATATATATATATATATCCCTCTTTTGGAAACTTTTAAAATATATGCATTAATTACTTTCATATACACGTTTTCAAATAAGATCAAGTCAGATATAATAAAAAATATTGTTTCCATAAATAATTTTATTAATATATGCAATAATTTCATTGATATCCATTATAATAAATGACAATATTGATTTTTCGTGATTCATGTTGATAATATTTTGGTCAAGAATAGATAAATATTAGAGCATCTCCAATGTTCTAATGTTGTTATAGATTAAATTATGACAAATGTCAATAAATTAAATAAATTGTGAACCATGTAGGAATAATGTTAAGTTCACAACTATGACATTTAAAATTTATCTCCAATGCACAATGTAGTCTAACTACAATATTATCTACTTACCAATTATTAAAATTTTAATAAAAAGTTAGAAAATTAATTAAATAATTAAATAGCTTGAAAATGGTAAGAATACTTATCTCTCTTCTCTTCATTGGCTAGATAGGGTGTGGAGGATAATGTGGATGAACCACATTCTTCTCTACATTGTAGACATTAATTATGTCCACATCACCACAACATTTGTAATCACATTGTACATTGGAGGATGAAAAATTGTGATATTACTAATAAGTCGATGTGACATGTAATTTACCACAATAACATTTAAGCATTGAAGATGCTCTTACAATATATTTTAAGTTCTAACCATAATACTAAATTTCTTTCACAAATATCACTTTTTTATCCAAAAATATTTATAGAAAAAATTGTAACAGGTTAGGTAGAATTTTTCTTCCAATTAATTAGACGAAATCAAGTTGGTGAATTAATCTTTGTCAATATAACTTTTTCTTAAGCTTTATTTTGTTATATATAAAAATTAAATTATTCTTCAAATAAATATAATTTACCATTTAAAAGATAATGACCAGATATATTAAATAATTTCACTAATGGTCAAAAATTAAAAGTGAAATATATTAATTGTTCTTTAGAATTTATTGTTTGGATCTGTGAGGATCTCGTTATGTACAAATCACGAATTCAATAGCAAACGTAAACCTATGCGCAGCGGATCTAAAGGTTTGACGTAGAGAACTTACGGCTTAAAATTTATGTAGATCTGGTTGACCACGAACGGTTGACCGCAATTGATTGACCGCAACACGCGTCTTGGGTTGCACGAACAAGATCAGATCAAAACTGGATCAAACGGATGCAAACAGATCAAAACGAGATTTGCAGCCTGGGAGCTTCCGGCGGCGCGTGAGGGCGCGTCCGGCGTCGCATTCCGGCGATCTCGGCGGCGATGGAAAGCTCTCGTTGAGACGGTCGTCTGGGTATACTGTACGTCTCAATCGGACTTCCGGTTAGTTCTGTAGGTCAAAATATATTTCGTCTCGGTTTACCTACAGATCTTCTACTGTATTACTCAATACACCCTTCTTCAACTTGTACCAGTGGAGCAACAAGAAGAAGATAAAGCTCGAATGAGATCTAGAGAGAGAGACGTGTTTCACGTGAGAATGAGACTTCTGTTCTCTTCTCATGAGCTTAATGATGTATATATAGAGCTACAGTAGGGACCCTAAGGAGATTAGGAAAGGACTCCTTAATTAATTAGACTAACTGTGGGCCAAACCCACTCCTCTAATTAATTAAATAATATTAATGGGCCACCAACATTATATTATTGCACTCCCTTTCCCTAGCCCAAATTACATTCGAGACTCCAATAATAATTACTCGATTTACCTCCCCACGTTTAAGATATAATGTCCATTAATTAATTCGATTACTGACAATCAAGAATTAATTAATTTATTATTATTTCACCGAAGCTAGCGCTCGTTCATCACATTCTTATTATGCCGGAATTTAATCCACCTGCAGGGTTTAGCATAACAATCCTTCATGAACTCACTCCGGGGACATCATCAAACTAACGCACATGGTGACCGTAAATATCCTAACAACACATCCTATATATAATAATATTACCCAAAACAGTAGGAATATTAATCCAGCGAACTGAACCTCACTCATGTGAATCAAAGTAATATATATTATATATATCTGCCTGTTTAATATCTTACGGGTTAAGAGAACGCAGTAATTAACCGAGGCCTAGTTCATTTACGACGATCAGTATAAAATGAACTTCTCCTCTCTGGGATCCTGTTCAACACATAAATGTACTAGTGCAACTAATCAGTCAAGACAAACTGTACAGTTGACACTACAACCGTTCGGATGGGGTGTTCATTTCCATCTAGGTTGTGAACAACTATTCTTGTTCGCAAGTGACTGATAGAGTGATCTTCGGTTCGCCCGATGACGACCCACCCTATCTAAGTGCAGAACAACAGAACGTAGAACTTGTTTAATCTAACATGATTCTCATTCATAAAGGGTATATGTGTAATAACATGCAAAGCCAAGCTTTCAGTATATATTACTAACATTTATTTGTATGTTATTGACAACCGTGATTTTTTTTATCCGTCCTATCAATCCTTTTTTTTGATTCCTTTCTATAATGAAATTCTTGTAAAATTTATTTTTATTGCAAAGTATGTTAAATAAACCATAAATCATTATAATCCAAATTAGAAAAATCTTGATTATAGAAGGGATTGAGTTTTTGGCATTTGCTAAATCAAAGTTGTTTAATTAGTATACAAAATTAAATTCAAAAAACATGTGTGTATATTTTGTAAAATATTTATACACTATTTAGTTTTAAGTTACTTACATATTTTAAATTGATTACATAAATAAATAATATAATATGTACTAAACATTTTTCATTACATAAAATAAAAAGAAAAAGAGACGTACAACTTCTATAATTTTTATAAATAATAAAGACATTATATGACAACAAAGTTTATAATAAAATAATAATTAAATAGTATATGGTGAATAAGAATAAGTAAACTGTTATTTCTCATATATCAAGGAATAAATATATATACTAAAATCAAATTTATATTAGTATAAATGTGTTAGTGAAATAATATATTAATTATTTTACAATGTAGCCCTAACAAGTTCATATTTATGTTTGGCTAAAACGCAACGCTGATTAAAAGATGTGGAAAATAGATTATAACCCTATCAGTATAAAATGAACTTCTCCTCTCTGGGATCCTGTTCAATACATAAATGTACTAGTGCAACTAATCAGTCAAGACAAACTGTACAGTTGACACTACAACCGTTCGGATGGGGTGTTCATGTCCATCTAGGTTGTGAACAACTATTCTTGTTCGCAAGTGACTGATAGAGTGATCTTCGGTTCGCCCGATGACGACCCACCCTATCTAAGTGCAGAACAACAGAACGTAGAACTTGTTTAATCTAACATGATTCTCATTCATAAAGGGTATATGTGTAATAACATGCAAAGCCAAGCTTTCAGTGTATAACACTAACAATCTCCCACTTATACTTAAAGCTTTCGCTTTTACAGTATAGTCCTATCAATCCGTTATTCTAAAAGACCTATGTCGATCCTATTGCCATGCTCATGACTCCCATTCCTTCCACGTGTTTGACGAAGACCTTCCCCGGCAAACTCTTCGTGAAAAGATCAGCTCGGTTGTACTCTGACGCAATCTCGGCAACATCAACGTCTCCTCTACCAACGATATCCCGAATCAGATGGTATTTGCGCTCTATGTGTTTGCTTGCCCTGTGGGCTCGAGGTTCTTTTGAGTTCGCTACTGCTCCACTGTTATCACAGTACACGGTGATACCACGTGGCAAACTCGGTATAACCTCTAAGTCCACTAAGAAGTTCCTGAGCCAAACTGCCTCTTTCGCTGCCTCTGAGGCTGCTATGTACTCGGCTTCCATGGTGGAGTCTGCCACGCATTTCTGCTTAGCACTCCTCCATGAAATGGCTCCACTTCCCAAGGTAAACACATAACCTGAGGTTGACTTACTTTCAT